GACCCTGTTCCCCTCACACACACACACACACGACGCGTTACTCTGCGCTGCGCAAAACTCCGCATTTGAACAGTCAATAGCAAATACTTAAACTAATAACAAATCATACTTACAGTCGTTGATTCAGAAGTGCCAGATTGTCATAGCAAAGTCGGAATTGACCCTTTTTTTGTGCATAAAATGTCCATAAAATGTGTTGCACAAGTTCGAACATCTGGGTTGTGCTGTTCTGTTGTAAATAAATCTTAACCAATGATTCCTAATTGCATCTACTTCCAGAAGGCCAGATAAAGTGCTTTTGCACTGAATCACACAGCGTCTCCCTGACATGGCTGCATCAACACTGCTGTTCCTGAAACCACGCCTTCTTCTTTGCGTGAACATTTGAGCAGCATTATGCTAATATTTCCACATCGTGACGTAGACATGTGGGGGCGTGTTAGAACGTTTTAGGGTGTTTTAGGTAGGCGTGATTGACTCTTAACTTTTATAAAGAATATCTCTTTGGATTTTAGACTTTAGTCTTTGCAACTTTACAGATCTTCTTTATGCACCAAGAGCTTGTAACACTCCAAAGAGAAAGGAAAACTTGAAATCGCATCATTTGACCCCTTTAATGTTTATTTAGTTCTGTTCCTTAAACCTGTCTTTGTAAAGCAATTATTATTATACAGATGGTTACAGTGGGATTTAAAATTCTGAGGCCACCAGTGAAAATTCCTCTGTTTTGTATTTGTTTTTAAATAATGAACAAAATAATTACAATGTGAATGTCACATGATCACTTGCACAAATGTGTTTACTTTTGATTAGCGACCCAAATATATTGTAGAATCTTAGGGTGCGTCACAATCAGCTCCCTGGCTTCTTTTTGATTCTACCAAAATGTTTTTTTTTTTTTAATGCTTTATTGAAAAAAATAGGAATATTTACTATTATATTTTTTATATAAAAAAAAATCTATATTTTTAAATATATTTTATAGTCATTATTTAAATTGATCTATTTATTTGTTTAAATGTTGTCTCATCATTGAATCATTTATTTAGGCGGTGCCAATTATCTCTCAAACACGTTATTTGGAGAAACGAGGAGAACTGCAGGAAGTAAACAGAGGAGGGACATTCTTGAACCTCCGCCCCAAATTCAGCCCCGTCTACCTCTTTCTCTTCAATGACCTACTTGTTATTGCCAGCAAGAAAAGGTAGAAAGCTGAAAAACCTGTTTGTGTTATGACTTTACTCTGTTTTATGAGGGTTACAAAACACTGCATTATATTTACATGCCATTTATATGCATTCACTTTTTTTAATGATCTTTTATAAAAAGTAACACCCCTGTTTGCATTTGCTGTTTAGTTAATCCTCTTGTTTCTGAATCAGACTTCACTCATTTGTTTCCCTGTGCTGCAGTTCTGAGCGGTATGTAGTCCTCGATCATGCCCATCGCTCCCTGGTCCAGGTGCAGCCTTTTGGGGAGGTCACATCTGTCCTCAGCCTGGAGCACTCCTTCTCTCTGACTCTGCTGGAGAATCACCAGGGACGCCAGATGGAGAGAGTTGTCAAAGCTCCTACACAGTGCGTGGAGTTATAAATAAACTGCATACTATTTATTTTACTCATCCATGATACATCGCTCCATTATGTTTTGAGCTCATATTCTGATTTTTATTTTCCTGTTAGTAATTCAGATATACAAGTCTTGTTAATGTACACTACCGTTTAAACATTTGGGGTTGGTAAGATTTTTGTAATATTTATGAAAATCTTTACCAAGGCTACATTTATTTAATCAAAAATACTGGAGAACAGTAAAATGGAATAACTTAAATTTCTATTTTAATTTATTTTAAAATGTATTCCTGTGAAAGCAAAGCTAAAGCAGCCATTACACCAGTCTTCAGTGTCACATGATCCTTCAGAAATAATTCTAATATGCTCATTTGTTGCTCAATAAACATTTGTTATTGTCAATGTAAAAAAAAAAAAAAGATACAAAAAAAACCATGATACATTATTTCAGGATTCTTTGATGAATATATATATTTTTTAAGTACAGCATGTATTTTTAATAAAAATATTTTGTAACATTAGTGTCTTTACTGTCACTTTTGATCAATTTAATATATCCTTGCTAAATAAAAGTAAAAAAAAAGATCTCACGCACCCCAAACGTTTAGTGCATGTATACTCATCGCATTAAAAGGAATACAAATGCACAAAAAATTATTTAATAAATATCTATATCAACAATGTATCAGAAGGCATCCACAATTTGGATAAAAAAATATTGGAATTTTTATTATTTTTTATTAATATTTATTTTTATCTTTATTCTCTCTCTCTCTCTCTCTCTCTCTCTCTCTATATATATATACTGTATATATATATATATATATACTGTGTGGTACATTGAAATTAAATGTTTTTGTACAGTTGGACTGATAAATTGATATTTCCAGCCTAGCCAGAAAAAAAAGTCTACCGATCATCATTTACTCATCATGTCCTTCTAAACCTGTATAACTTTGTCTTTTGTAGAAAAAAGCAAAATGGTTATACTGCTCTTTTCTATTTCGAATGACATGAAAGGAAGTAAATTAGGACAGATTTTCATCTCGGAGTTAAAAACCCAGTGTCACATTTGAGTGTCATGTTCTGCTCCAGATATTAAACACTGTTGTGTTTCATGCTTAGAATTCGCTGACTTCTCAGAAATGGCATGTTCCAGTGTGTACACTTTCTCTGAATGTGGAATGCTCCATTAAAGCCACACCTCTTGTTTTGTGAGACTGTTTGGATGTGTGGGAATGGGGGTTGGTGTAAATGTACATTAAACTGCATTTTTGATGTAAAAACATGATATAGAGAGTAATTTGACTGTGAACAGTGAACAGTTTTTTTTAATGGATTAATTTATTGAATCTATGGACAAAAGAGTATCTAAAATAAAGTTTACAATGTTTTGTATGATACATTAAGGTTTTATGGCCCATATCGTATGATATAGTGAGAATATGGCGCTCACACTCCAAAGAGGAAAACAACTTGTGTGGGATTTATATGGCCAAAACATAATATTTGGCTAGCTTGTAATGTACAGTACATCAGTGAGATTTTTATAACGGTATAGTATAACAGACTACTTACATAAAATACATATAAGTATTAGTATTAGTTCGTCTGTATTTCTCCTAATAATATGTCTTAGTTAGATTATATTAAATGCTTAGCTTTATGATCAAATCTGTAGTTTTAATTCCTTGACAGCCCTGTAGTATGATACTTATATATTAATCATAAAAAAGATGTATGGATAATCAAGTAAACTAAAGTTGCTTCAAGCTATGTTCATCTTGACACATTACTATTATTATAAAAGTTATTCTTATGTTTACTTACGTAAAACCATTAAAGATTTCACAGCAAAAGCACATGTACCACAACCTCTGAAGCTGGAAATTGTTAGTTAGATTTATACTAACAGCCCTTTTGCTTACTTTTACTTACTAAAACAATATGAGCCATCAATCAGAAGGCATGTAGAAGATTGCGTACAACAGGTTTTTCACAACAATTTTAATGATAATTTAAGGGCTTTAGAAATTCATGGTCGAAATCCATATGACTCCGGCGCCATCTAACGGGCAATGTGCAGTTTGGAGTGCATTCATTAGTTTGATGCGACAAAGACCTATGACAGAGCTACGGTGACAGAGAAGTGCAAAACAAATCACACGATGTATGGATAATCAAGTAAACTAAAGTTGCTTCAAGCTATGTTCATCTTGACACATTACTATTATTATAAAAGTTATTCTTATGTTTACTTACGTAAAACCATTAAAGATTTCACAGCAAAAGCACATGTACCACAACCTCTGAAGCTGAAAATTGTTAGTTAGATTTATACTAACAGCCCTTTTGCTTACTTTTACTTACTAAAACAATATGAGCCATCAATCAGAAGGCATGTAGAAGATTGCGTACAACAGGCTTTTCACAACAATTTTAATGATAATTTAAGGGCTTTAGAAATTCATGGTCGAAATCCATATGACTCCGGCGCCATCTAACGGGCAATGTGCAGTTTGGAGTGCATTAATTAGTTTGATGCGACAAAGACCTATGACAGAGCTACGGTGACAGAGAAGTGCAAAACAAATCACAATTCTGAAAACAAAATAACAAATTACAAACGCAAATGCAAGTCTAAAAAACAAAATAACAATTCAGAAAACACAACAACAATTCAGAAAACATTATAACAAGTCAGAAAACACAATGACAAATTTGAAAACAAAATAACAAGTCAGAAAACACAACGACAAATCTGAAAACAAATTAACAAGTCAGAAAGCACAACGACAAATCAGACAAACCGGAAGAGGTAGGTATAGTTTGAGACAGTGCCATTGGTTTGGGATTACTCACCACTGACTGGACGAGACATCTGTCAATCAACGAATACAGGAAGAACCAGCCGAAGAACCACAGATTCATGGTAGAAAGTTCGGAGATGTCTATTTACATTTAGTTAAAAGTGGCTGTAAATCATCAGCTCCAGTGGCGCAGATGGATAAGTGTGTGTCATTGGCTTTTTGACGCGATTGACCCGGGTTCGATCCCGCCTTTTGACAAACTTTTTTTCCCTCCCTTTTCGAATTTGTCATTGTGTTTTCAGACTTGTTATAATGTTTTCTGGATTGCTGTTGTGCTTTCTGAATTATTATTTTGTTTTTTAGACTTGCATTTGCGTTTGTAATTTGTTATTTTGTTTTCAGAATTGTGATTTGTTTTGCACATCTCTGCCACCGTACAGAGCAAACATGAGAGGGCAGGAATTTATACATATGAGCTCAAACATACACACAATACATAAATTATTATAAACATTAAATTAATTACACGTTTTATATACGTTTTTAGATACAATTTTAAAGTTCGTTATAAAATAACAAAAAGCTCGTGCTTTTATTTAGGTGGATTTACACTTCCGGTTTGATAGCAGCATGGTCACTAGGGGCAGCGTCTAGTCGTGTTGCTCTTGCGGAAGTCATCTTGATCACCTGATAAACGCAGAAATGGCTGGCAGGGTGAGTATTTCTTTCTGATTAAAGTTGTTTTGGTGTCGCACAGAAATAACTCATAATTTCGACAGTCTATTCAGCACTTACAGGGCTCAGCTCCATTCATACGTGCTGTGTTTGCACACTCACGCAGTACCGGAAGACAAGTTCTACAGCTTATGCCTTTTCAGGAAACCACTACTTTGCAGTGTTGCAGAAACAAAAAGTCACGAGGATATTTACCATTTTTAATGTAGAAGCGACAGCTGTTTTCAAATGTCTGAAGAGTGACTTTGGCAAATGCATGTTAATATAACTGTAGCTGCTTTCATTACAGATAATTGAATCAAGTGTGAATGAGAGTTATTATATTATAATAGATAAACGCTGTTTTTGACAGACAGCAAGGTTATTGATTTATTCAACTACCTAAATGAAAATAAATATACAATATAAGGGTTTAGTTTGTGTTGTGTTTCAGTCATGTATAAAGATTTGGACATACAGAGGTCTGCAGTGTTTTTATTGTTACTTTTATAAATCATATTCGTTCATTGAAATAAAGCTGGAAAAAATATTAGATGGAAAAACTTGAACCTAAAAGACCTAAACTACAATTGGACATGTTGCTTTGACAAAGTGAAATAATAATAATAATAATAATAATTCATTACATTTATATAGTGCTTTTCTAGGCACTCAATAAAATAATTTTAAGTGCTAAAGGTACTAAAACGGAACATAAGCATATTACCAAATGACTGAAATGCCATATAAATAATATAATAAAAGCTCATTCAAATGTATATTATTAAATATTTTACAAGTATATAAATAATACTAAAATAAAACGGGACTTCTGAGATCACAAGAAAATAGTTACATTTGTTTTTATTTATGATTTGTTTTAAAGCAATTAGATACATTTATTTTTGTTTGTTATATGCAACATTTAGTATTTGCTATATGTACTCATATTAATATAATTTTTTGACATAACATTCTTTTTTTTTCTTTCAGATTTTTACTATAATGGGGAAAAAATAATTAAATGAAGAACACAAAAAACTTACATTATTTTAAAATTGTGTACAAATTAAAAGGTTCTCAAACCTAGATTTGAACCAAATACACAGTCACACTGCAATATGCATTAGCCAGCATTATGATTACAGGCTGTATATTTAAGGAGATTACGTGACATTCAGAAGGTCTGGAATTCTTCTCATGTTATCATTAATACAACACCAGGGTTTAATGAAGCCCTTCAGTAATCCGGTAAGATCACACAGCATTGCTGTATGCTCTCAGTATTTTTCAGAGCGAGCATCAGCTGGTTAAACATGGAGATTTGTAAGCGTTTGAACAGGTGAATATCAGGTTACAGAAAAAGTAATGGGGGAGTGACTCGTTATTTAGTCAAGTCAAGTCAAGTCTGCTTTATTGTCAATTCTTCCACATGTACAGCACATACACACAGAGAATTTAAATTGTGTTACTCTCAGACCCTTGGTGCATACAGATAACATAAATCCAGATTAAATACAAAATACAACTATACAAATATACAAATAAGGTAAAATGTAAAAATATATATATAAAGCACAAGGCATATGGCAGATAGAGTGCAAACCAGTAAAGTAAACAACAGTGCAGATATAATTATTATTTAGTGAGTATTTGTTATTTAGTGAGTATTTGTCATGATAAATATTAGGACTTTAACAGACAGCTGGTAAGTGTTGACATAGGCTGGATTTTATTTTTGTTTTCAATTATTGTTTTAGTGAAAAGGATAATAGTCACTGTTTTTTGTTACCAATTTAAGGGTTTGAAACACAGTTTACGAACAGTTATGTTTGGTTATCAGTTATCAAATGATCTACATTTTGCCCTAATTGTTTTGGATCAGTATTAGTACTACTAGTAATGATACTTATACTAGTATTTAGCATTAGACTTTTGTCACACAAGAATTTGTTGACTGCACAAATATAGTTTGGATGTCTGAAGTTTGTGGAGGATTATTTCTGCATTCTGTTAATCTAAAATCTTGCTTACATTCTTGAAATTAGTTTTATAGACAAAAATGGCACATTTTAATAATTTTTTAAATAATTTTGAAAGATGTCTCTTTTTCACCCAGGTATATGTGTTTGTATTGTGTATATATATATATATATATATATATATATATATATATATATGAATATCAGGTTACAGAAAAAGTAATGGGGGAGTGACTCGTTATTTAGTCAAGTCAAGTCAAGTCTGCTTTATTGTCAATTCTTCCACATGTACAGCACATACACACAGAGAATTTAAATTGTGTTACTCTCAGACCCTTGGTGCATACAGATAACATAAATCCAGATTAAATACAAAATACAACTATACAAATATACAAATAAGGTAAAATGTAAAAATATATATATAAAGCACAAGGCATATGGCAGATAGAGTGCAAACCAGTAAAGTAAACAACAGTGCAGATATAATTATTATTTAGTGAGTATTTGTTATTTAGTGAGTATTTGTCATGATAAATATTAGGACTTTAACAGACAGCTGGTAAGTGTTGACATAGGCTGGATTTTATTTTTGTTTTCAATTATTGTTTTAGTGAAAAGGATAATAGTCACTGTTTTTTGTTACCAATTTAAGGGTTTGAAACACAGTTTACGAACAGTTATGTTTGGTTATCAGTTATCAAATGATCTACATTTTGCCCTAATTGTTTTGGATCAGTATTAGTACTACTAGTAATGATACTTATACTAGTATTTAGCATTAGACTTTTGTCACACAAGAATTTGTTGACTGCACAAATATAGTTTGGATGTCTGAAGTTTGTGGAGGATTATTTCTGCATTCTGTTAATCTAAAATCTTGCTTACATTCTTGAAATTAGTTTTATAGACAAAAATGGCACATTTTAATAATTTTTTAAATAATTTTGAAAGATGTCTCTTTTTCACCAAGGTATATGTGTTAGTATTGTGTGTGTGTGTGTGTGTATATATATATATATATATAT